GAGGAAGGGAACTATGGAAGGAAACCAGAATGTTAGTAAGATGGGTTCTAATGGTATGGGGGTAAATTAGGTTGTCCTTGGGTGTGGGGCGGGAAGGGTGTTGGGTAGAGGTTTGTATTTTGATAGTTATTTCTGTGCTGAATAGTTCCATGCAAACTAGAACTAATCTGGAAGAGGGTGCAAGTACTCTTCTGGGGCCTCAGAATCCTCGCCCCACACCCTGCCGCCCTGCCTTGTTGCATGGAGCTGAACCAGTGCTAAGGGGTGTGGCTGCTGTTCCTAGCCCTGAGTGTGGACAGTCTATCCTGGCCACCTTCCACAGGAAACCTGACCTGAGGGACAGAACAGGAAGGAAGCAGGTGGGTGTGGAGCATGGAATAGGGAAGGGTGGCACTGGGTATAGGAAAGGGGAGTGAGGCAGTGCTTGGAGTTGGAAGGCAATCAGATGGTTATAAACCCAGCCTGCTGGCCATCCCCAAAGCCCAGTGGTTTACTGGCAGGTCCTCCTGAGTCCAGCTGCTGTCAGATCACCCCAGTTCTAGAATAATCTCAGACATTGAATAAACATACACTGCTTTGCTCTGTTTGCTCTGGCTATCCCCACCCCACACAACCCAACCGTTCACCTCGAACCCTTCACCTAGTACATGACGCCTGTTCTCCCTGGCTACTACGGTTCTTCTTGTTCGCTAGCCCGCGACCTCGCTGAGAGCAGGGCCCATCTTTTCTTTACTTCAGTAGTTAGTTCCGCCCAAGGACACTGTGGTCCCATCTAGACTGGCTAAACAGGTGCACTGGGACTGTCGATTAAAATTGCTGCTGCAAAGCTGGCTGTGGTGGTGCACGCCTTGGATCTCAGCACTTTGGAGGTAGGAGGATCAGGAGTTCAAGGCCGGCCTTGGCTCTGAAACCCTGTCTCAAAAAAAAAAATGGTGCGTGCTGGAGAGATGGCTCAGTGGTTAAGAGCACTGACTGCTCTTCCAGAGGTCCTGAGTTCAATTCCCAGCAATCAGACAGTAGCTCACAACCATCAGTTAATGGGATCCGATGCCGTCTTCTGGTGTGTCTGAAGACAGCTCCAGTGTACTCATATAAGATAAATCTTTTGTTTTAAAGCTGCTATAAAAACAGGTGGTATAGCTATATAGGGGAAGATGGCTTACCTGGTTTGTGAGAGGCTATGGGTTCCATCAGAGACAGGCATTCTCTTGTACCCTCGAGGCATTCAGACTAGATGAGGAAACGCTGGGTGCTAATTTGAGGCTGTGGACTACTTCACTTGGGAACTCAGGGAAGGGATTACTGGTACAGGCCAGAGACACTGAGGAGGATTCCAGGCCTGTAACCAGGGCCCCCACATGACAGAACTGGAAATGTGCAGGCTGAGTGGGCTGGGAGAGGAGGCAGGTCCTGGGAAAGGGTGCACTGAGGAACCAGGGAAGACTGAGGTGGGGAAGAGAGGTCCAACCTGCCCAGAGTCTCATGGGAGAGCAAAATGGTTTCTTTCACTGTTCCCTCCTTTTCTAGTCCATCCCAGCTTTGTAAGACCCAAGAATTTGAACTTCACAAACCCAGAGGCTAAACCATCTGGCTTTGCCATTTCTCAGCTGTTTGGCCTTGGGTATATATCTCTGCTCTCAGAGCCCCAGTCTGGCTATCTGTAAAATGGGGACAAGTCTATCTAAGTCACCGGCTACTGGCAAGGCTGTGAGCTGGGGTTTGCAAAGCACTTTGGTTTACTCGGCATACTTTGAAAGCTTACTGAATGGGGTGTTCTTGTTTGGTTTCTTTCAGGTGACTGTCACCAATGTCAGTTCAGAATTCTAACTGGTCCTTCCAACAGGACAATCCTATCTTCAGGGAGCCAGATCCACCAGTCAGCACAGACAGTGACTCAGGCCACCGGCCAGTGGAGAGTTATGAGGATACCTCTGCTCAGGTTGTAGGAGTCCCACTCTTTCTGAGACCGCTGTGGTCTCATCCTCTGGCCTTCATCCCCTTTTTGCCCACTAGGACGTAGTTTGCATTTCTCTTTCTATTAAAACAAAACCTTTGTTAGCCAGGGGTGACAGTGCACACCGTTAGTCCAGAACTCAGTGGCAGAGGCAGCTGGCTTCCTCTACCACGTGGGTTCTGGGGCTCAAACTTAGGCTTTACCTGCTGAGCCATCTTCCTGTTCCCTACTCTCCCCTACCTTGAGCCAAGCTCTAGTGTGCAGCCTTGAACCCTCAGTCCTGCTTCAGCCTCCCAGTGGGTGGGATCACAGGGATGCACGGCCGCTTTGCAGACCCTTTCTTTGGTCAGGAATTGGGGGTCTGACTTGAAATGCCATATAGTACCTTTCCTAGGTCTGGTCTGAGTTGTCAGAGTAGATGAAAGGGACTTTGACTCCAGGGAATGAGTGAATGGAGGGGCTTCAAATATATGAGGTAGTGTTTGGGGGTTCCTTCAGGGCAGACCTCAGATCAGAAGTGGACCTACTGTTCTGGCTCAGTGAAGGACTGGAAGGCTTTCACTCCCGGTGCAGAGGAACACTTGAGAACTGCTGTAGACTGGAGGAAAATAAGGGAAGGGAAAAGAAAGCCTAGCCCCCCTTTTCCTCCTATGTCCTTCTTCAGGCTCCTTCATGCCCAAGCTTGGGTCCACCTTGCCTGGATATCAATCAAGCTTCAAACTGGCCTGGCTTTCGGACCCTCCTGCAGCAGCTGCCTCCACAGGACAGTGATGTGGGTCTCTCCTCTGATTCCCCCTCAGTCTCCTGCTTCCCTCCCTCTCCCCACATTGTTAATAAGCAGAAAGACCCTTGATCTAGAATCCAGGGGATATGACTAGAAGGCCCAGCTCTGCCGCTAGCTGGTGGAAGTCATTCCCCTTAGCTTGAGTCTAATAACAGGTACGGTAATATTTGTTCTGTGTACCACACAGCTTGCTTAGCCTAAGAGCAAATGGGAAAATGGACATGAACGGCATTTGAAATCAAGAATGGAATGCACAAATGTAGAAAAATGATCGTTTAGCATTTATTGAGGCCCCACCATGTACAGTCTAAAGACTTACACTTCACTAGGGGAGCTGAGACAGCTATGAAGCAGAACGAACACACAGACCTGAGAGCGATGCCGAGATCTAGCTTTATGGGAATGGGAACCAAGCTATCTGATGACAGTACTAAGTGCTAAGGGCCCCTCAGTGGTGGCCAGTTCCATGGGCAGCACAGTGAACCGACGGCATTGCATTCTCTTCCCTTTTTTGAGCACATATACTATTCTCTCCCAAGGTTCTCTCCCTCTGTGGCCCAGCATCTAAGCCTTATAGAACTTTTCAGTCCTAGTGGTGTTCTACCCTGAGGTCTGAGTGCATTGGGGACCTGTTTCGGCAGGAACGATACTGTCTGGCCCTAGGGGAGGAGGAACTGGCCCAACTTCAACTCTTCTGTGCCCAGCGGAAGCAGAAATCCGTGGGACAGGGGGTGGCCCGTCTGCTACCTCCCAAGCTTGAAGGATACATCTGTGAGAAGGTAGGGAGTTCGGCTCCCTTTTCCATCCCTTCCTTTCCATTCCTTTGCTCTCTCACTTCTGCAGAAGGGTCTTGGGGGACTTTAGTGGAGAAACGGTTTCAGGAGCAGTGATTTGGTAAATGTTAGAGAAAAATGGTTTTGGGGGGGTTGGTGGCCTTCTGGTGGAGGGGGGCCTGGGGTACAGTATGAGAATGGTCAGATTGGGGGCTGTGGTGGAAGAGCCATGAGAGGAGCTAAGAAGCTTCAGATTCTGACCAGCTCAGTGCCCCCCATTTGGCAGTGCAAGAAGCTGCTAAATCCAGGGGAGTATGGAGTGTTCGCGGCCAGAGCCGGTGAGCGGTGCTGCTGGCACAGACCCTGCTTTGCTTGTCAGGCCTGTGGCCAGGCCCTGATAAACCTCATCTATTTTTACCACGATGGACACCTGTACTGCGGCCGTCATCACGCAGAGCTGTTGCGACCTCGATGTCCAGCTTGTGACCAGGTAGAGCGCCAAGAGGAGGCACTAGGGAGTTCTTCCCTGGGGACAGGAGCACGGGAACAGGGAACAGCTTCCTAGGTTGCAGCTCATCATCAGAACTAGGAGCCAGCCAGGGTCATCCCATTGCCTGTTGTTCTCTTGGGCTATGGGCATGTGGGACCTGTTGCCTTTATTTATCTCCGCTCTCCCCCAGTGCGAGCAGAGGTCCTTAAATTAGTTTGCATTCACAACGTTTCTGGATTCTTGAACAGATGTTTATCTCATCACTATGCCAGATGATCAATGCTGTGCTTGCCCAATGCTAGAAAGATCTTAACGTCAACATGAAAGACCGTATTAACCTTGGGATAGGAGTCAGGGGAGCTCTGGGGCCCAACTTCTGGCTGTGCCACCTGCTACGTGGAAGATCCGGCCCAAAGCCAATCACCCTCCCAGAATCCAAAAGTCACAAAGTACTTCAAATCAGAATGCCTGTGGGCATAGCGTTAATGGGTATACAGCATGATTATTGGATGGATGAAAGAATGGGTGAATGAATGAATGAATGAATGAATTGGTTTCCTCTCCCTCACCCAGCTGATCTTCTCCCAGCGCTGCACTGAGGCCGAGGGACAGCGCTGGCACGAGAACCACTTCTGCTGCCAAGACTGCGCAGGGCCCCTGGATGGGGGACGTTATGCACTGCCTGGGGGTAGCCCATGCTGCCCTAGCTGCTTTGCGAGACGCTACCGAAGTACAAGCTCTAGCTCAGTAGGGGCAGCGGAAGGACAAGCGTGCCTTGGTAAAGGAGGGGACAGTGCAGATCTTAAGGGGAGGGAGCGGCGGCTTGGGCTGAGCATAGAAGGGGGTAATCTCCCAGGCCAGAACCCCTCGCCCCATCCATCCCCACACTGTCCTACCCGCTCCAGCAACACCTCGTCCTCCCACCGCAACCCCCAGACGCGAGCATCGGGGCCCGCAGCTCTCACCGCGCGTCCCTGGCCTGCGAGCTCCAAAGGCCTCTTGAACCCACCCGGCGGGGCTGCGGCGCCGGACTCGCTCCCAGGCGGGGGAGGCGGTCGCCCACTGGTGGACGGAGGCGGGGGCCCCTGGGGTAGACTGGCGGCAGCGGTGGCGCGCACGGCACAGCCTGGGGCGGGGCGGGAGGCCGCACGCAACCCTGGCCCGCCTCTTGCACGGGGACTTGGGGGCTCTGAGATGGGCATTTCTGATGGGTCTGGAACAGGGGAAGAAGGACCTGATCCAAGCGTCGGCTGGAACCGTGCCTCCTCGGATGACAAGATCACCTCCCAAGCTGCGCTTCCCTCTGCAGTTACCAGCCTCGCCCTGGAAACCCCGAGTGGGGCGTCTAAAAGGCAGGATAGGGACGGTCCACAGACACCCGGGAATCCCGAAGAGGACAGCCCCTGCCCCACCTGCTCCTCTTCCTCCGAGTCGGAACCGGAAGGCTTTTTCTTCGGCCGGCACCTTCCAGATCCCTGGAAAAGCCCGGAAAACCTTCAAGCAGATGACAGAGACATCTCCAGGAAGCACTGCGCCATTTGTTAGTGGTGCGGCCGGGAGATCGGGGTGGTGGGATTGGGGGCGGGGCGGGGGGGAACCTGTGAAGCGAGATAGCAAGGCTGTGCCGTGTGAAGACCCGAGACTGAGGGTGGTCAGGCACGCGGGACAGTCCCACTGGTACTGCGCGTTCTCTGACCTGAAGGACACTTTCTTGGGAGCACACCGCTGCCCAGAGCCTCCAGGGTGAGCTACCTCCTATCCCCAAAGGCCGGGCTAGGCTCACCGGCAGCACCTTGCTTAAACTAACGGAGTTGTAGCGCGGCGCGGAGAGCAGACCCCAGGCACTGGGAGGTGGGGCCGCGAGCTGGGGCTCCGCCTCCGACCAGGCGGTGGGGGGCGGGCCTTCTCGCTCACGTCTTACTCAAATCGCGGAAGTGCGGGGTCGGAAGTTGCGCGATCGGCCTGCGCCGACCCGGTGCGACGCGCAGTCGGTACGGACGTGCTCGGTGCTGCTATGGCTTCCAGCGGGGTGACGGTGAGCGCCGCCGGCTCGGCCAGTGAGGCCTCCGAGGTTCCAGACAACGTGGGAGACTGGCTCCGCGGCGTCTACCGCTTTGCCACCGATCGGAACGACTTCCGGAGGTAACCGAGCCTGGCCCCTCTCTGGTCCCCGTAAACTTAAACTTGTATTTCCCTACCTGGTGCATTCCCTAGTCTGTCATGCATCCTCAGGGGTTTTATCGCATTGAGAACATAGCGGTCTCCTGGTGGCAAAAGCCATCTGTCACGTGGCTTTCAAGGTATGTCCGCCCTGGGCTGCCGGCGATAGTTCTGCCGCCAAGCCTGAGGACATGAGTTCGATCCATGGGACCCGCAGGGTGGAAGGAGAGACCAACTCCTGCTGGTTGTACTGACCACCACATGTGCATTGTGCCATGTGCACGCGCGCACACATACACAAGTTAATGGATGCAATATTTTTTAGAAGTCACCCTAACCCAGAAGGCAGGGAAGGGGTGCCAACACATAAACAAATTTTAGCCCCGGCAGAGTGCTGAGTTGGTCTTTGCTTGTGTTAGAAGTAGATGTGAACTTAAAATTCTCCTGTGCATATTAGGGGGACGTACCACTGTATCAAGTGTTAGCACATCCAGAAGGTGGTGCTGGGAGGAGACTTCCCATGGTATGTCATTAGCTGCATGAGACTCACGGACTGTAGGGTTAATGAAAGGTATTCTTTTTTTGTTTTGTTTTTTCGAGACAGGGTTTCTCTGTGTAGCCCTGGCTGTCCTGGAACTCACTCTGTAGACCAGGCTAGAACTCAGAAATCCGCCTGCCTCTGCCTCCCAAGTGCTGGGATTAAAGGCGTGTGCCACCACCACCCGGCTAATGAAAGGTATTCTTTACTCAGGAACTTGATCCTCAATTTGGGACTGTTTGCTGCGGGAGTTTGGCTGGCCAGGAACTTGAGTGACATTGATTTGATGGCACCTCAGCCAGGGGTGTAGCTAGGTAAGCACTTAACTTTCCTCTGCCCATTTCAGGAGTCCTAAAAGATGAAAACAGCAGGAAGTTCTGTCAGCTAGTCACAGGCAGTAGGGAAGATTCTTGGGTTTCTAGGTGAAAGCAGTTCTTCCGTTTCTAATCCTACCTGTTGTCTGCTTGCAGAGAATGGAACTCTTGTATATTCAGACTTTCCAAAGACAGCCTACCGTATGTATGTGACCACCACAAGATACTACCCAAGTGGCAGCTGAAGTTGACTCACTCTCCTTGCCTAAACCTACCCCTCCCGCCCCCGGGCCAGTCCCCTCATCAGCTGAAATGTTGCCTCTGCAGTTCTGTGTGCAGTTCTTAACTTTCTGCAGAGGGTGATCTTTGCCCTTGTCCTCAAGAGTAGTAATGATTCTTGAAAAACGATTTCAAATAAAGCCTGCACATAAAGACAGGTGTTTTATTCTTTTAATAAGAAACTTCTTACAAAAACAAGGTGTAAAAAGTCAGTTTACAAAAATCAAATAAACATGACTTGTATTTCACACTCAAGAGACAGGAATGAGCCCCAAACATGAACTGCAGTAGAGATGAAATGGGAATGGAACCACCCACTCCATGGGGTGCAGACATGCACAAAGCTGGTTCTTGAGCAGTTACTATTGGTGAGTCCTGGAGGAAGAAGTTGATGATTGGTGTTTTAGTTTGCCAGGTGTGTTTCCCAGGTACCAGGGAGGCATTGTTGAGATTTGGTGGCAGGAGAGAACAGTGGTGTGTCGGTGAGCACAGGGAAGCAGCTTCCTTTACAAAGAAAGGTGCGTCCTACCCGGAGATTCATGCTGGTGCTGCTGTCTGGTGTTCTTCCAAGCATGTAAGAACCAGCATGGAAAGACTTCTGCACCGGGAACCAGCTAGTGATAGAAACAGGCTCTCCATAGTTTCATTTAATCAATTTACTGGGCGTTTAAGAACTGCTTTTTATGCGCCAACCCCTTTGGAACTGGTCGTGGTTTACAGAACAGGAGTGGAAAAGGATTGGTGAATCTGGACCACAGCTGCATGACTAACAGATGTTACTCACCAATGGCAGTTCACTGAAGGAAACAGGGCAAAACAGCTTTCCTGGATCTGCTGGCAAATACCTCAGTCAGTCCGTTCTCTGCGGACTAGCTCATTGTAGAAAAGGCTTCAATTTGACCTCCACAAAATAATGGGGGGGGGTGCACAATTAAAAGGTTTTTTTTTTTTTTCCTTTTTTTTGGAGAAGGTTTCTAGCCCATGCTGGCCTCAAACTTAGCTACATAGTTGAAAATGGCCACAAACTGCTTAATCCGCTGCTTCCATGAACCAACTCTTAGGGTCACAGGTCCTAAGAGACCTGTTAGACTCAGAGGCTTTCCTCTGGCTGGTTTAGGTGGGGCTTTGTGTTTGCTAGGCAAGCACTACTGAGCTACATGGCTAGCCAAGTACAGGATGGGGATTACCACCTTCTTGTGAATGTTTATCAGGTGGAACCTGTGCAGTTCATGGCTAGGCGAAACACCCTGAGTGAATGCAGGCCTAGAGTTTACCCTGGGAGTACAGATACTCTGAAGAGAGGAAGACAGCCTGGGGGCCTGGTGGCATACACTACACTTAATCCCAGAGGCATATGAGTCTGTAAGGCCAGCCTGTTCTGCATAGTGAGTTCCAGGTTAGCCTAATGAAACTGGGGAGCCAGGGTCATGAGTATGAACATGAAGACAGAGCTTCCATTGCAAGCCATTACTTGCAGAGCCCCAAAAGGTGACCAGGAAGCAGCCTTGTAAGGCGTATGTTAGACTTAGAACCCCACATGACCTTGGCTACGATAGGAAAGAACAACCTGATTTTTGGAGAAATAAAACCTTAAAGTGTGCTGTGATCTCATGCCAACCCGAATTCTTTTTTTTTTTGGCTGTTTGAGACAGGGTTTCTCTGTGTAGTCCTGGCACTCTGTAGACCAGGCTGGCCTCGAACTCAGAAATCCACCTGCCTCTGCCTCCCAAGTGCTGGGATTAAAGGCGTGCACCACCACTGCCCAGCCCCGTGCTGTGATCTCATAATTGAACAGTTAGTGAAAAAATTTAAGTTAAAAACCAGACTGTGCAAGAAATAAGATATGACAGCTTTCAGAGCTTAAGTGAAGTTTCATTCAGAATCTAAGGTTTAATTTCAAGTACTTTACTGTAGCTCTTTGGAGCCATAATGCTGGTTGGGCAGTTTCATTTAAGCCGGTTTAGTGGAGCTGGGTGGAACCAGGGCCTCAGGTGCTAAGTGCTCTAGCAATGAGCCGTTTCCCCAGCTGCTAGCTGTATTTTAAGTGAAAGATGCCAACTTTAGCATGGGCAAGTCCCATGAAGCACTTGCTTCATAGCTGCTGAGGCACGGTGAGTTAGAGTGGTGACCGGGCTGACAGGTACATCGCAGTTACAGTGACAGGCCTGGATGAGAGCAGAGGAGAACGTGGAAGAGAGGCAAAGTCACAGTCCTGAGAAGGCGCGTTTCAGCTTTAAAAGTGACAAAAAGAACCACCTGCGAGGCCCACACTTCGCTGATAAAAAAGTCAAGTGACCCTAGGAAATTACACCCCAAAGATAAAGCTCTTCACCTGATTCGTCTAGGGATGAAGCTGAGGGGCCCAGTTACCGAGTACGCTTGGAATGGTAAGTTCACGAACACTTGGTGAAGTCTCACAAGCTCAGTAGAAACTTCAAGCTTGGAGTGAAAGAACTGTCTGTCTGGCTGAACACACTTGAGTTCTGATACTTCCTCAGCCACTCAGCACTGTCCTCAGTTGTCATCTGCCCAGGAAGTGTCAAGGGTGGCAGAAAGGGGTCACTTCTCCATGAGTCACTGCATATTACACAGTGGCTTGTCTCACAGTCTGAAGGTTCACTTGTAGGTATTGTTGCAACTCTGCTTCCTGATGGTTCATGCAGAATGACCTCAGAGCTAATGCAGGCTCTACTGCCATTGGTCATCTAGCTTCATCGTGATTTAGAGAAAGGCTTTTCTGATCATTTGTGCTATCCCAACTAACCGGAAACCCTTGCACACATAAGCTGCAACCCCACATAGGGATGTGGTAGACATTCAAGAAATGGTCACCTTCTGGAAAAGGCCAGCATTAATGTTCGGCATGTACAAAAGGCAATGAACAACAGTGGTAGTCAGACATTTGATGAATGATTGATTACAAATACAATTTAGACATTAAAACTCTAGAACTTGCTGGTAAGAACAATTTACATTCATACAGAAGAAAAAGGAATGCTCTAAAATTCTGATAGCACATACCCTTTAAACACTACAGACCCATTTGCCACTTGACATAACAAAAAGGAACCCCCCCAACTCTCATGCAAGCCACAATCAAGTACAAGGCACCAAATTTTATGAATTGTAGAAAATTAGTTCACAAAGCTTTATCAGTAAAACAAATTTCAGATCTTCCCCCTCCCCCCCAAATTTTCATTCTGCACCATCGACCTCTCAGCTTACTCTGGGCACTCCGGCCAGTCCACCTCATTGGTTCTTCCCCTGAATGTGGATGGAGCTGAAGGCATAGCCAGAGCAGGGACCTCATACAATCATGGACTTGAGAGGCCTTGCCACTGTGAACAAAAATAAACTCTACTATTGAGTCCATAGGACACATTAACTCTTCTACAGTTTCCAATTTTATTCTTGATGTTTTAAGGGACATCTAAAACTTTTTTACCATGTGGCAGTGCCCTCCCTTCTTGGCCAGAAGGCTGGGTTAAAGCTGGCAAGAGCTCTGCCTGACATGGGATGAGCACTGCAGTGCCTGGTACCAAGGGTATCCCTGCTGTTTCGCACTAGCAGTAGGTGCTGCTCTTAGAGGCAGCCACAAGCATGAGGGCCAGGCTAGACTGAGGTAAGAAGTCATTTTTGAGGCCTGGGGTGTATTTGTCTTGGCTGGCTACAGCAGTAAGTAAACACACCAGCCTATTACAAAGGGTTCAGACCAGACTGCAGCTGGGAGAGCAGCACTGGGATTTGTCCTGGAGTCAGCCAGTCACGGTATGTCTGCCCTTTGTTTTTAGAATGTTTCACTGTGATGCAGTTGACACAGCACTGTCTTTGGCTGTGCAGGCACCACAGGAGCCCTGACAATGCACTGCTCTTCTGCAGCAGATGTCCCCTTAAGCACCATATCCCTAACTCCCCTGCGCTGCTGCTTCCAGTGCTGAGGTGTCCTCTGTGGTTGCAGTGGCACCTTCATGAGGGTGGCTCAGTGGAGATGGTTTCAGTTCCGACTTAGTTTAAATGATTTGACTAATCTCATATGTGGGTGTTCAGGTCAGTTAAGCATTTGTTTTATAAAGTCCCTAATCTGCTTACCAGTCCTGCGGATAGCTGCTATAAAACTATTTTTAAAAATTGAATAGGAATCTTTTAATGCTCCTGTAAGTGTCTTTATATTGATTAATGTGTTTCCCCTCTAGACAGGCCTGTATTCTCTGCCTGCAAGTTCTCTTTCTAGAATAAACAACATAGGGTTTAAGGTGAGGTACAATCCAGTCTTCCTTCCTTCCTTTTTTTTTTCTTCACTCTCAATAGGTTGTTGGTTTTGTTTTTCAAACAGGGCCTCACAATGTAGCTTCAAAGTCACGATCCTCCTGTCTTAGCCTAACAAGTGCTGCCTTACTGGAGTGTACTAGCATACCTGCCTTTGTTTTTGAATGGGCTTTCCTACCATGGTAACAAATCATCACTGTCATAGCATCTTAGTAATGTAGACTTCCCTGAAGGGGCACAGCTTTACCTCAGAATCTCGGGCAGTGTGGGCAACCGGACACCTTAAAACAGTGTCCAGGAGAGGAGGAGCCCAAGCACAGCTCATAAAAAAAGCCTGCAACAGACAGTAAAAACCAAACAGCACAAAAATGCTTTACATTATCGCTTCCAAATAAAAGCTAAATATTACAGAAACCTCACAGTGTTATTAAAAAGCAAGTTTAAATCCAGCATGGCACCTCTGTCAGGATGAGCCACTGTCTGTCTGATTTCTTCCGTGTCTCTGATGTCTGGCAGGCCTACAGGAGGGTTCACCTTGGAGAGCAGCAGTAAGTACCACAGATGTGCCTGGAAGTGTGGCGATGCCTCCTTCAGCCTCCCCGTCCCTGCTCCCCGCCCCTGTAGCTCCCACCAGGTGACAAGTGTCCTGCCTGAACTCACCATTAACAGAGCTACTTTACCAAGGGAGCATTCGGGGGAGGTGTGGGGCACTGCAGAGAAGGACGTTTACTGTGCCTGACAGGGAGGAAGGCTCTGAGCACTCAATCCCTTTAGAGATGGAGTGAATTTTAGAGATGCTTTTTTACTAATACTAGAGTAAGAGATGGAGCCTTCCTCTATTCCTCATGGACAACACAGCAGGAGTGAATAACCAGCACACCGGGATAGAACACACAAGGGCCACAAGCAAACATAGTCCCTAAGCTCTGCTCACACACTAGGAAGTAAAGGGTCCCAAAGCTCGTGGACGCTGATGTTCTAGGTGCGGGAAAGAAACTTCATGCCACACAAGGTGAGACCTTAGGGGCAGCAGGCATTCAGACAAGCCCAGGTCACCTTTACTGCATTCTGAGAAGGTTTCTGACAACTGACCCAAAACCGATCTGAACCAATCCGTGACTTTAAGCCTGGGCCTTGCTACAGGACTGGGGAAGTCAGGAGTGTCCACGGCTTAACATGTGCAGACCATGTACACACAGGTCTGTCTGTCTGTCCTTCTGACTGCCTCTTCTGAAGGAAGGGATGCCTCAAGCCTCAGCCTCACCGTGTGAAGTGACAAGGTGACAGCAGCTCAGAAGCCAAGCTGTGACAGACAGCCTTCCCACTGGCATGGAGGAAATCTCCATGCCCCTCACTCTTCAACTGTGCTCCTAAAAAGAAAGTCTGCAAGCCATGATCTGGATGGTTACCTCCTTAGTGTGAATAACTCCTGGGACTTCAGCTTCTGAGTAGGAACAAGTCTTTCCCACCAGCTGTCAGCCCAGGGCCCTCATGTACTCTGTGCAGTGCTTCAGGGACGGCCTAGTTAATAGGGGACTCACGACAAAGACAGACATGGTTGTTCTCCTGGCTGATCACTTACCCCGTCTCCTCTACCCAGATCCCTGTCATCCAGAAGCAACTGACAAAGGAATCTTCATAGAAGCTACTCCTTTAGATTGTTTTTATGAAAGGATGGGATTTCCATGGTTTCACAAGAAAGTGACTACCAATTTTTTGACAGAGCAGGAATCACAGGGCATTGTCTCCCCTAAACCCAGTGAGGCAAACCCAGGAATCTGTTACTGTGGCGAGCCTTATTTCCCAAGAGGAGAACTGGAGGCCATTTTGATGCTTGCCTCCCAGTCAGGGAAATGTGTATGTTTTGCGTTCGTCTTTGCTGCTGGAGTGCACCTGAGCTCGGAGGTGGGGTTCTGAGAGTTTTGCGCTGCCCTGAACTGTTCTTCGAGTGTAAAAAAGAATGTAGGCCTGGGTTTTGCACACTTCCTCGACACTGCATACATCCAGCTTGGAGTCATTGCAGTGGACCCAAAAACCTAGGAAGCCAAAGGAGAGAGAGAGAATGACAACCTAGTTTCCATTTTCAGACAGCTGCAGTCAGGAGATGAGAGAACAACGGGGGGACCCAGCCGCCTTCTGATTCCTGGGGAATGGGGGCCATATGACGGCAGGCTCCCCATAACCACTGGCCTTCATCCCCTCTGCACCACCACAAAGACTTGTCTATGGTACTGACGATCAAGTTCCGTCTCCCCGCCATGCTCTGCTGTTGTCTATAATCCTCCGCAGAGGCAGGCAGACAGGGAGAGGGGAGAACAGAAGTGGAGGGCGCAGCAGCAGTCCTGTTTGTAGGCTTGGGCTGCTGAAAACCTGCTCTCAGCACTGCGGCTGGAGACTGCCCGGGGGAAGGTTAAAGCTCTTCAAGGTAAGGGAGCTAGTGAGTACAAGTGCCCTCAGAGATGAGATACTTGAGTAGTAACATATCCATCTCCACAAAGTCCATAATTTCTGCATGACTGAGAAGGAAGCTGAAGTCGGCAGCATTATCATTACCAGAGCCGTAGTGAGCCCATCAATATGAAATACGAGGAGTGACAGATCTGTGCTAACCTGCAGCACTGGTCTACGTGCTTTGGTACGGGTAGTCCTGTTCATTCCTAGCATAGCTCTATATCCTTGCTAAACTCCTAACTTTCATAATGCTTCCCATTGGGTGTTAATGTGTAATTTGTCCCTAGCTGACCCAGGGGATGGAAATAACAGAAAGCAGTAAGGTATGGACAAACCAACCCTTATCCACGTCCCCAAGTCCACAGAGTAAAGCGCACGCACCTCCCTCTGTGTTGTAGCAATAGGCTGTGTAGTGTCCTGAGCCAAACCCTTTCCCGTGATGCATGACCACCGCGGAGAGATCATAGGCAAAGGTCTCTTTGTCAAGAGAGGAGAGCATGTCCCTGCAGCAGTAAGGCTCCATGGTTAATACCTGGTCAAAGACGACATGAACCCCGATCTTCTCACGATGGTTACGGCCAGACCACCTACAACATGGAAGGACATTCTTACTAGCAAAGACGAAGACTGGTAATAGTTATCAGGGAGCTGAGAGAACAGCTTTTGGTTTTGCTTTTGCCCCCTACTAATCAAAGATCATGTGGATATCTGCTGTGAAAGTTCCATAGAGTATCTGAACCTACAAATCCCTAAAGAAGCAGTTTCGAGCCTGGCTGTGATGGCAAATGCCTTTAATCCCAGCACTCAGGAGGCAGAGGCAGGCACATCTCTTGAGTTTGAGGAAAGCAGGTTCTATAGAGCAAATTCCAGGACACTATACAGAACTTTCCTGAAGCACTGTACAGACCATAAGAGGGCCCTGGGCTGCCAGCTGGGCCAGAGTCAGAGAAACCCTGTCTGGAACCACCACCACCCTCAAAAAAAGGAAGAAAAAAGTCAGCAGACTCTGTATAGTTTGTATAGTGTACTGCCTGCCCCTTTCACTGGTGATTTTATATTGTGTCCTTAGGATGAATTTCCATAAGTCCAAACAGGGCAGGAAGGGTACTGGCACACATTAGATCACGCTAAGAAAGAGATGGCAAGAGCTGAAGTCTGGGCTGCTGTTCTGCCATCAGCTTGTCTTACGGGACAAGAGTGACTCTCCATGGTAAATGCAAGGCCCCACACCAATAGGTTTCTTTCCCATGTCAAAACAGAAGCTGTCCTCCCCAGCCTTTGAGGTAGCCACCCGAAGCTCACCTGAATCTTTTAAGGTGTAGCCGGAGGACCTGAGGTAGTCTGTAGATCATTAACTGCTTTCTAGCTTCACTCAGAACAAGGGGTTTGGGGTTGGACTTGCGTCGTTTGCCTACATGGTTTGGAAAGGTATAAGACATAGGCAGTGAGGAGCATCATCCAGTCACAGGTTGGATCTGGGTTTTATCTAAGGCACTACTATGATACATTGTAAACATGTCTGCATTCCCCAGCTTCACAGGCCTGAGTGGAGTGCCTTTGGAGGTGTGGCAAAGAGAAAGGAGTAATGGGACCCTGAGGAAACTGAGGAAGGAGCTCGCAATTCCTCAATGACCATGTAGCCACGTGCTAGCCTTGGGGTCTCCTCCAGCTTCCTTATACGACAGTCACTGTTACTGGGCTCTGACCAGCAGCTAAGCCGGATTCTGATACATCTGCTTTCAGATTTTTGCTACCAGCAGCTTCTAGAAGTGGTGTGGCTTCAGGATGGTACATTCTCGGCACCATGGCTTTTAACAGAATATGTAAGGGGCTGCTATCACAGCGTATACACTGCAGTGAGCACACCTGAATCTTTATGATGTGGCCGGAGGACCTGACATAGTCTGTAGATCATTAACGGCTTTCTAGCTTCACTCAGAACAAAAGGCTTGGCTTGGATTTTTGTTGTTTGCCTTCATGTTTCATTGTTTGGAAGTGAGTGTACTTCTATGCTTTTACGTTCCTATCATTTAAATTATTATAAACTGTAAGTCTAAAAGGATTTTTCTTTCTTTTTTTTTTTTTTTTTTGGTTTTTTTGAGACAGGGTTTCTCTGTGTAGCCCTGGCTGTCCTGGAACTCACTCTATAGACCAGGCTGGCCTCGAACTCTCGAACTCAGAGATCCACCTGCCTCTGCCTCCCAAGTGCTGGGATTAAAGGCGTGTGCCACCACCGCCCAGCTAGGATTTTTCTTTACACAAGTTAGTCCTAGCTGCACTTCCTGCTTATAACTATCCATACCAAATGAATATGCTATTCAAAACTCTGAGGCTCGGCTCCCTCAGTGGGAGGGAATGTTACAGATACTTGAGGCTTAGGAAAAAGATAATAAATTACGATTAATAAAGCATAGAATATGAAAGCAGATTGTTTTCCAACATGTTTTGCTTATGGTATACACAAATATTTATTTAATTATTTAAAAGATTTATTTCTTTATTTCTTTAGTGTATACCAGGACTCTGTTTTCATGCACACCATCAGAGTGCATCAGATCTCATTACAGATGGTTGTGAGCCACCATGTGGTTGCTGGGAATTGAACTCAGGACCTCTGGAAGCATAGCCAGTGCTCTTAATGGCTGAGCCATCTCTCCAGCCCTCCACAAATATTTAAATATGAACTCTAGAAGTAGTGATGGCCTGGAAGAAGATATAGGATTTTCTACATAGGACTGGCCTGTGGCCATGTAGCATTTCCTTGACTGATGCGGGAGGGCATGACCCACTGTGGGCTGTACTACCCACGGCAACTGGGCCTAGGTGGTATAGTGAGGTGTGGATTTGAGCCTGGAAGCAAGCCAGTAAATAGCTTTCCTCCATGGTTTCTGCTTTAAGCTCATACCCTGAGTTCCCTTTATGATGGACTGTATATAACTGATAAGCTAAAATAATCCCTTTTCTCCCATGTTGTTTCTGGTCAGTGTTTATCACAGCAACAGAGAACAAACTAGGACAGTAGTTCTGGGCTTTTATGTCATGGTTTCTGAAATGTCATTCTTTTTTGGGAGGAGGGTGTTGTTTGTTTGGTTTGGTTTGGTTTTTTGAGACAGGGTTTCTCTGTGTAGCCCTCGCTGTCCTGGAACTCAGTCTGTAGACCAGTGACTGGATCTTCTTAGGCTTCTGCCTCCTGAGCACTGGGATTAAAGGTGTGTGCCACTACTGCCTGGGCTCAACTGTATTTCTTATAGACATGGTAGGAAGGCAGCTAAGTTCATCTAGTCCAAAAGAATAAATGGGGACTCTAATTTTGATTCTAAACCACTGACTTGTAAGTGAAATGAACCCCTATATCCTTGGAAAACAGACAATGGGAACAAATTTTCTTAATCTCAGTCAGAGATGTGTGTGAGCACCTCCTGATCCGTCAGAGGTAACACATGGGAATACAGCATTCATGCTCTACCATCTCCACAGTTCCTCTGAGGGCTCAGAGCAGAAAGCATGGCATCTGATTCCAAGTTCTGTCTGTAGCACGTGTGCAAGCAGCACTCTGACCACAGGACATGGAGGGTTAGCTGTATGGGACATCAGAGTGCATGTGCCGCTGGAGAACCCTGCCCGGCCGGCCATGCAGTCATGACACTTGGGATATGCAAAGAATCAAAGCACTCCGAGAGGGGCTCTGCCCTATTCTTCTAGTCCTGTTAGTCAGACCTGAAAAGGCTGGAGCTCTGCATAGGAAGCTGCAATGAGCACAATCCACAGCAGAGGGAGTATGTGAACTAAGACGAAAATGTAGACTCTGGCTTTGTTTCCCTAAATGAAATTCACCAAGGAACAGAAATTACGGACTCAGTCGAGACTACCCAGTTTTGTCTCTGTGTACTTAAGGTAAGATACATGAGGAAGAAGGGCGGCGATCTTTAAACTCCATCAGTACCAGGTCAATGCAGTCCAGGCCCCCAAAAACTTTTGTTCTGCAGCAGCGGCAGCATAGAAAAATCCTGACTGACTGGCACATCTAGCTACCAGAAAAGGATACCTTCTGGAAAAACTAAGACTGTTTCCTACCTAATCTGTCACAGCTACGAATGATACAAAATTGTTGATGCCCTTTTGTTCCTTACAGGTAAAAGCTTTGGCCTAGTGTGGTGGGACACACCTTTGATCCTAGCACTCAGGCAGAGGCAGGCAGATCTCTAAGTTTGAGGCCAACCTAGTCTACAGAGCAAGTTCTAGGATAGCGAGGGAAGTGTCAGAGAGATCCTGTCTCAAAACAAACAAACAAGCAAACAAGAAACAAAAATAAAAAACCTACAAAACCCAAAACACCCCCCAAAAGAAAAAAAAAAACAATGTATATTCCAAATTCTTATTATATAGTATTAAACTGATTATCTAGGTCCTTGTATAACCTATAACTTTGTATTTTTTGTTTCTAAATCTCTGTATGTCATAAAATGCAGACACCAGGGTTGGAGACATTGCTCAGCGTTCAGAGTACCGGCCGCTCCTGCAAGACAATCTGAATTTGGTTCCTAAGGTCCACATGGCAGCTTACAGCTAGTTCTTGTAGAGTCAGAGCCCTCTTCTGCTTCTAGTAACAGCAGGGAATGTACATGGTGCACAGACACACATACAGGCACACACAAAAATAAATAAATCTTTAAATGCCATCAGCAGACATGGGCTTCCACATTTGTTGTACACTTCCATCTGGGTCAGCAGGGACACTGGGTATTAGTATGGTGACACAGAGGGCCTGTACATGATGCTCGTGCAACCACACAGAAGGAGACACACTTTAAGTTATGCTAGTGACAGAGAGACACTTCTTTGTGATGCATGTCAAGAAAAGAAGAAGAAAATACCCATGAGGCTGTCATTCGCCATGTGTCTGTGTGAGTGTATTCTGTCAGCCATGTAGGCCCTGGAAATCAAACTTGGGTTGTTAGGCTGGGTGGCAGTGCCTTTACCTGCTGAGCCATCCTGCTAGCCCCGATCTTTGTGTGTGTGTGTGTGTGTGTGTGTGTGTGTTACTCGTGTGCGTGCATGTGCACCTGTGGAGACTAGCAAAATACTCTGGGTGTCATTCTTCAGGAGCCATCATGTTTGTTTTTGTTATTTGAGACAAGGTCTCTCACTGGTCTGTAACTTGCTAAGTAGGTTAGGCTGGTGACCAGCAAGCATCAGGATCCATCATGTATGTAACTTCTTCAGGGCTCTGAGGCACACACCACCACACCTGCCTCCTTTTCCCTATGTTAGGAGCTCCACCTCAAAGTGAACCCTTTACCAACTGAGAAGTCTCTCTAGCCTTATCACCCCATGTTTTCGCATGAGTTTTAACAGACGTTAGATCTATGGACTCAGTACAAGAACATACTTTCTCATCCTACAGCATTCAAATGGGATTCAGAGCTAACAAGAACCATTAGGCTACATTTGTGAGCCTAGGGCCCTGTAGCATGAGGAAGCTAAGGACTAACTTCTCACTGCCCCTGCTTCAGAGCCACTTTCACACACTTCCCCAGAACTGAAGCCAGTCAGAAGGGGTCAGAGGCACCTTTTTTTGTTTTGTTTTGGTTTTGGTTTTTTAAGACAGGGTTTCTCTGTGTAGCCCTGGCTGTCCTGGAACTCACTCTGTAGACCAGGCTGGCCTCAAACTCATAGAGACCTACCTGCTTCTGTCTCCCAAGTGCTGGGATCAAAGGCGTGCGCCACCACCGCCCAGCAGGAGGCATTACTTTTAGTACTCTAAGAAGTCTGTGCATGTAGTAGGTGTGGGCATGCATAGGCATGTGTGCTACCATGGCAGGCAGGTATCTCCATTCACCCTTTTGTGGGTTCTAAGGACTGAATTTAAGTCAAGGCTTGGGTGGCAAACACCTTTACCCACTGAGCCGTCTCATTGGCCCAGGTCTGTTTTTAATAATGTAAACTCCATATTAGCTACTATAGAGGCTGTGAGAAAAAGATCTTCAAAAGGTGCTTTAGAGCGCTTGGTGCTGTCAGGGTTACTGCTGCCTGAAGGGGCAAAGCAGCTCCTTCAGCAGTTCCTCCTGAACCCCTGCCCTCCTCACGCAGCACTCACTGTTACACTGGTCACAAGCGTAGACTCTCCCCTCCAGGGCCTCTGTCTCGGTGAACTTGTCTAGCATCTCAGTGAGCAGGCACTCTGTCTGATTCAAAGGGACAAACCCCTTTTCTATGCAGTGGTATCGTTCAGGGAATTCCAGGGACAGATCCCAAAAGGGCTCAATGGTATTGGATTTATAATTGCATGATACACATGTGACCTAGAATGACAAGATTGGTTTGCAGATTATAGTTTCCATGCTTCCCACATACAATTTTGTTTGTTTTATAGAACACATATAAATTTAAGTGCTTCTCCCAAAAAGTTTAATAAGAACTCAAATTTAAAAAGCATTAGAACACATTCCATGTGCTTGCATTTCTAACCATGCTGTAACTGAGGAACCACAGGGCACCCTCTGCCTTCTCCCAGTGAATATTTGCCTCAGTAGAGATGATAAGCTACCTCAGAGGCATTGAAGGAATTGGGCTGAGAAAAAAATGACAGGCTACTGTCTGCTTTGCTTGCCCTCAAATTCCTCCCTCTTCCTTGGTGCTTGGAGCAAATTTACTTTTCTCTTGTGCCCTCCCTCCCTCCCTCCCTCCCTCTCTCCCTCCCTCCCTTCCTTCTCCTTTCCTCCCAGATAGTCTCACTATCCACTCCTCCTGTCCTGGACCTCATTACAGAGCCCAGCTGATCTTGATTCTGATCTCCTGCCTCAACCTCTCAAGTGCTGGCATGATGACACCGAATTTCCCTGTTTCCTATGGTGTCTGCTCTGCAGAGCCTCAAAGCCCTGCTTAGAGCTCCTCTCCCACTGATGCTCCTAGGTGCCTTTCACAGGCAAAAGAGGAGGGGCCTTGATCCCCTTCTTCCTAGCTTACTCATCACTCCTTTCAGAATCTTAGCAACTGACACACACAACCTCTGCAACTCATTGTAGAAAATTTATTTTTCCTTAAATTATATGCCCACTCGTATTTTTTTAAAAAAATCTATAATAATTCTTTCTGTGCATAATTTTATATGGCCTGGGGATCTTTGCTTAAGTCTTGACCCTGCTAAAGATCCTGAAAATAAAAGGTGCTGGGACATGGAGTCTGTAACCTGACAATTGAGAAGTAGAGGCAAGATGAGCAGACATTTAAGATCATTCTTGGCTGCACAGTTATATGGGCTACTGGAGACCATATTTTGCGGGGTAGGGGAGGTATGGGCAGTGGGTCTGTATGGGCAGTATGCCTGGTTCTTTGGCATACTCCTAACTATTCCTTGTAAGTATAAAAGAAGGCTCTTTCAAAGGACTTTGGAAATAGACTTCTCTGCAGACTGTTCCGTTCTGTCAACTAGACTGATTAAAGATCTGGACAGAGAGAACACCCAAGTCCACCTACATGGTGACCAGTATATAGTGTCAGGTACAACCAACCAGCTCGGAACACTGCAGTCACAGAAAACACTGCCTATACCTAATCAGCCCGGGGATCTGGAAGCCCAAACTACCACCCACGCTTCCCACCTTGCTTCGGGTAGGCACACACCTACCTGACTGAGCAGCTGCCCATGAAATATGGTGTTCACCACCTTTAAGACCTGCTTGGTGAGCTTCCTCTGGGAGAAGGGGATGAGGATCCGGCGAGTGGAGCCCTCAGACTCAAGTTCCTGCTGCACCTTGTGCAGCAGTTCGCAGAGAAATTCCTGTGCGTCCTGCTGGTCGTAGCCACGGAAGGCGGGAATCAGGCTCCACACGGAGTGAAGCATGGCAAAGGGTGACACGAGCGCCCACTTCCCAGACCACATGACTCGGAAGAGGGTGTGCAGTTCGTGGCAGAGGGAAATGTGCTTTGAGCTGGGTTCCTTGTTCTGAATGAGCTCCAGACTTCTGCTGATGGAGGCTCCGCTACTCCAGCAGAGGCCCTGAGGTTCGCACCCCTGGGTCCTTACTGACAACTCCGCTGCAGAGCTGCTGGCTGGCCTCCCAGAGAGCTGAGCCTTGCCGTTGGTTGCTTGGGGGAAAAGGTGCTCGGAGGTGGAAGGGTCGAGGTTCAGGAAACACTCCCGGAACTTCTGGAGGTGGCTGAGCACCTGGAGGATGGAGTTCATGTAGCAGGTGTTCCCCAGGTTGCGCAGGCCGGTGACACCCGGGGCTACCGCCGGCTGGCGGCGCGGCTTGAGGGCAGCCGTGGACATGCGCCGGGAGGTAGCGAGGGTGGCGGGGCGCACGGCTACGGGCCCGGGAGCGTGCAGGAGCAGGCGCGCACTCTTCCGCGGCGGCGCGCTGGCCAGCTCCTCCAGCAGTCGCCGCTTGACCTCGCGCCGCCTCTGTCGCGCCGCCTCCTTCTTGCGCTGCAGCGCCTCCTCCTGCCGCCGCTGCTCCAGCTGCGCGCGGCCGCGGGAGCTCTTCTCGAACCAGAGTCGCAGCGTCTTGGCCAGCAGGCGCTGGCGCCGGTACCACAGAGCCGTGAGCATCTGCGGCTGTCCCTGAGGAGTGCGCTGCGGCGGGACCACGTCCTCGCCTGCAGCCGTGGACCGCAGCGTCCGCCCACGCCTCGTGGGCAGGTCCTGCTTCTTGCCTCGAACCGCCAGGAGGGAACTTCTCAGCAACTTCAAGTCCCCCTCGGGGTTGTCATTGAGCACATAGTCCTTGCACAGGTAGCAGAACACATAGAGATCCCGGACCTCCATGGCCAGCGGGTGTCCGGTCTCTTCAAAGTGTTTTAGTGCATGGTCTTCAATGTAGCGGCCGCAGGCCACGTGGGAGCACTTGAGGCAGGCCCACGCAGACTCGGTGGTGGCACACTCCAGACAGCACCACTTCTGGGGGTTCAGGATGGAGTGGTCCTGGGCGAGCCGTAACCGTCCTACATGTTTGCATCTATCCATGTTTTAGCGCAGTCGCCACTTTCTTAATCTGGCACCACAGAGCCGCCCAAAAGGAAAAAAAAAAAAAAAGCAGAACTTAAGGAAAATATTTTCCTAGAAAAACAGGGTTGCAACTGGCATTTCTGGGCAAGACTTATTAGTTTTTAATTAAAAAATTGTCCCTTTCAAAGTTGAAACTGGTATTTAAAGTACCACAAGGAGAGAGAGACAGAAGCCTCAAAATAAAACCTTAGGTTAATTTCACTGTATTTCAAAGCAAAGGTATAGAATAAGGGAAAGATAAGAAAAAGAAAGACAAATGACATCTAAGGAGGCAGAGCTCAAGGAACATTTTATAAGCTAGCCTTTCTGAATGAAGAGAGCACATTTTATAGAAAGAATGGCAAAACTCAAGTCTTTATTGAAAAGCAAATTCCCAGATGAATCTGATAGGACAAGAGGTGGTATGGCTATTGGAACCACAGTGTTCAAGCCAACTACCCAGACACAAGAAACAAGTTGACAGAAGCAAGCTTGCTTCCCTTCCTCCACTCTTCTGTTTTGCGACTGACTTACTCTGTAGCCCAGGCTGACCTCAAATTGGTGGTGATCCTCCTGCCTCAGTGAACAAAATGCTAGGACCCCTGAGTTCTGTCCCTTCGCCCTGGGTTTTTTGTTGCCTTGGAGACAAGAGTCTCATGCTTCCCTGGCTGGTTTGAAACATATGTAGACCTGGCTGGCCTTGAACTCACAGAGATCTACCTACTCTGCACTCCCCCAGAGTGTATTCGATTACAGGTGTGTACCACCACATCTGGCTTCTAATGTTGGTTTTTAATATTCATAAAAGAAATACAGTAGGCAACTTCTAAGCCCAATGAATTTTTTTTTTTTTTTTTTTTTTTTTTTGGTTTTTCGAGTCAGGGTTTCTCTGTGTAGCCCTGGCTGTCCTGGAACTCACTCTGTAGACCAGGCTGGCCTCCAACTCAGAAATCTGCCTGCCTCTGCCTCCCAAGTGCTGGGATCAAAGGCGTGCACCACCACCGCCCGACCCAACGAATATTTTTTAAAAAACATTATATTATTTGGAAACCCAAAGTTTCTCCAGGATTAAAAATATTCTAAAGACAGTTCTTTAAATTTAATCAATTAACTAATTAATTAATTTTGATACAGATCATCCTCTAGATGTCCAGGAACTATTTAGACCAGGCTGCCCTCAAAAGTCATAGAGATCTACTACCTGTCTCTGCCTCTTGAGTGCTGGAATTAAAGGCATGAAGCACCACATACGCTATTTTATTTTTGTGTGCTGTGTCTGTATGTATGAAGGTTTGTCCTCATGTACACATGTGACCACAGAGGCCAGAAAAAGTCAGATTCTCCTGAGCTGGAGTTTCAGGAAGCTGTGAGCCCTGATGTGGGTGCTGGGAACCAATCCCAGTCAGTCGTCTGGAAGAGCAGGAAGCACTCTCAGCTGCTGAGCTGTGTCTCCACCCTTAGTTGTTAGCAATGGGCTTTCCTCTCTGATTCTTCCTCACTTTCCATTTCTGAGAGCAACAACAGATCCATATTAGAAGACTGTAGCTAACCCTGATGACCTGAGTTCAATCTCCAGACCTCAGTAGGTCATATGAGAGGACATGCATACCCCAGCCTTGTGCATAAAAATGAGTAGTATAATTTGAAAGATTTTCTTTATGTTGGCTTTACCTTAATGTCCTGATTAATGGGAGAAATAAAACACTCCACAAAAGAAAAAAAATTCTCCAATCACAAAAAGGAAGGAATCTATACTACCCCAATCAAAGTAAGTCCTCCCAGGACCTAGCTTCAAGTGTATTATTTTCCTAATCATTATTTTTATGCTCATAGTTTGTTACTGATTTGTTGCTATGTTCCCTCTAAGTCATTTCTCTAGATGAGGCTACACATTCTGATTAGATAGAATCTCCTTTAGAGAGGAGTTCACGTGTTTTATTTATGTTTACTCCCTCACAAGGCTCTGGGTCACACATTACCAGCAGCACGCCTCTCCTGGGGCGGGGCTACAGCTCTACCAGAGCATAAGCTAAGTCTTCAACACCAAGGGAAATTACTCTCCCAGTTTGAAGCAGACATGAAATACACATTTTTGCTTGCTTAGGGCACAGCCAAATCGAAACACACATAAGTGAGGACTGAAATGACAACCGGTAAATGCTCTTCAGCACAGTGGCAGCGTGAGCTGGGTACATAGGATGCTCTCAGATCAAACACCAGGGACACAAAATCAACCATAAAGAAATGAAGGGGGAAACAGGCTAAAACCAGAAACTAGTAAGTTTCTGTTTTACAAACTGTACTTCCTGACACCTCCCCACCCCCCAGGATCAAAATTCTTTAGGCCCCCACCTACCTCCTTGGTACTTTATACATGAGGGATGAGAATCTGAAAAGGGCCCACATATCCATTTGAAACAAACCCCAGAGATGGGTCTCTCACCTAAAGCCCTATAAATACTGCATTAATCCAACAAATTAGAGATGAAGAACTCAGAAACCAAATAAAGAATTCTACTTTCCAAATCCTTTCCTACTTCTCCAAAGACAGTCTCATTTTGTAGCCTTGTTTGGCCTGGAATTTTCAATGTAAAGTAGGTTGACCTCAAACTCACAGTGACCCACCTCTGCCTTCTGTCTGAGTGCTGTGCTCCACCGTAACTGGCTGTTTTCCAAATTCTTCCACTCAGACCAACACTGCCTGAAATGATAGAATACTCTTTCTTGCTTTCCAAGAGACAATCTGGTTACTGAAGTAGCTAGTCACATGATTACCAAGCACTTGAAAAATGCCTAATGGGATTGCAGGACTGAACAGCTTTTTAAAAAGATTTATTTTTTTATTTAATGTATATGAGTACACTGTTGTTGTCTTCAGAAACACCAGAAGGGGGCATTGGCTCTCGTGACAGATGGTTGTAAGCCACCATGTGGTTGCTGGGAATTGAACTCAGGACCTCTGGAAGAATAGTCACTGCTTTTGACTGCTGAGCCATCTCTCTAGTCCAATATTTTATTCTTAAGGCATAGGAGAAAATATAATTTGTTATCAACATGTAATCAAGAAGGTGTTTAAGCTGGGTATGGTGGGTATACTTTTGATCCCAGTGTTCAGACAGATCTCTGGTGTTTTTGAGGTCAGCTTGGTATGCATAGGATAGCCAAGGCTGCATAGAGAGATATTTTTCAAAACAAAACAAAAACACCAAAACAACAACAAACCACCCCACAAAAACATAAACTAAAAGGTTTTACCTGGACATGGTGGCTCACACCTCTAACCCCAGCACTAAGGAGGCTAAGGCAAGAGGATTGCAGCAAATTAAAGGCCAGCCTGGGCTACATAGTGAGTTATAGGCCAACCTTTGTTGACAGAACAAAGAAAGACCCAGGCAGGCAGGCAGGCAGGCAGGAAGACAGCAGGCAGGCAGGTAGCAGGCAGGCAGGCAGCAGGCAGGCAGGCAGGCAGGCAGCAGGCAGGCAGACAACAAGCAGGCAAGCAGGCAGGCAGGCAGGCAGGCAGGCTGCCTGGAGAAAAGGCAGGAAGCCAAGGCAGGCAATGCAAGACTATAATTACAATGAATCCAGCCTTCTAAATGTTTATATTTATGGCTAAAACAAAAACCTAAAAGTAGGCCAACACTGAGAAGAGTGGATATAGCTGAGGTCAGAAGCCCTTGGCTAAAGGGCAGTATGTGTGCTGGGGAGGGGAGGGGTGGAAGCTGCTGGCTTCTCTATGCCTTTATCCCTACTCTCCATGAACAGGGAATGGTCAGAGAGCAAGCTAGGGATACCCCATAGTCAGAGCACAGTCTGGAGATGCTGGGGGAGCTGAACTATCTGAGTGATTTAGAAGTCTTCATTGAAAGTATCCTTTGATGATCTTACCTGAGAGGTTTGAAAAGCCCATGTCATTCCCAGTAAGCGTTTTCTCTCTCTTTCTACCCCCACCCAACTCCCTAGCCTTGTGCCTGTGGATCAGATGCAAGTTCTAGTTACTGCTTCAATGCCATGCCCGCCCGCCTGCCCACCTACCGCCATGCTCCCCACCATCATGGCCATGGAACTATGAGCAAACCCCAATAAGCTCTCTCTTCTCTAAGTTGCTTGGTCATGGTGCTCTGTTACAGTAGCAGGAAAGCAACTTAGTGTGATCTTGTCTCTATATAAAAGGAAAGAGAGGGCTGAGGACATTGGTCAGTGATAAGTGCCTGCCAAGCATGGTTAAGGCCCCAGGTTCAATTCCTAGAACCTCAAGAAAAATAATCCCCAACTCTGTGCAGAGAGATGACAGCTCAGAGTCAGAAGCCAGATGGCTCTGTAAGAATTACATATGTAAGCCTGATTCATGTTTAGTAGTTTAAATAGTTTGCTGATCATGCCTGGAGGTCAAGGGAGTTTTGGAAATTAGTTTCTCTTCTACTATGGGTTCTGGGGACAAGACTCAGGTGGTCAAATTTACATAGCAAAAACCTCTATCTGTTAAGGCACTTCACTGGCCCAACGTTGTGGGGACTTTGGCAGGTTGGGTGGAGGAAGTGTATGGTATGTGTATGATATGCACCTATTTATATGTGTGCATATTCATGTATGAGTTTGACACATGTGTGCCACCATGGAGGTCAAGGAACAGCTTTGGTGCCAGCCCTCACCTTCCACCTTGTTTGAGACAGAATCTCTTTGTTGTCCATCACTCCACATGCCAGGCTTGATGGCTGCTGGCTTCTAGGGATTCCCTGTCTTTGCCTCCCATTTCCTCTTAGGTGTCTAATACTGTAGATATGTGCTACCTCGCCTGACTTTACATGGGTTCTGGGAATGCACACTCAGAGATTCCTATGCTTATAGGGTAAGTGCTTTGCCCACTGACACATTTTTCCAAATCTTACTTTCTGAGCCACGTCTCCAACTCTAAGGTGTAATTTTGAAATTACATTTATCTACTCAGCTTATGGGAATCTGTGTGCGCCTGAGTATGTGCCTGTCAGAGAAGAGTGTGTGAGAGCA